AGGCAAAAAATGCTGTATTCAGTGTATAAGACGCACCCAGATTTTCAGCCTCTTTTTTGAGGGGAAAAAGGTGCGTCTTACACTCCAAAAAATACAGCATGTTGCATTGAGCACTTATAAGAAAGCCAGGACTTAATAACATTGATTGATTGATTGATTGATTGATTGATTGATTGATTAGATGTATATATAACTGCTCTTTGTATCTTCTGGCTGAATGCCTATTTGACTGGAAAAATAAGAAGCACAGAGGGAGGGCAGCAAGCCCAATCCTGTTGATCGACCGGTTCAAAACTGGTCTCTTGAGTCATATAGTAAACCGGGATACTATCTGGATATGATATCTAGCCTTCCTAAGCAGTTAGTTGCAGACACCCATTGTGGGTGTCAAATGAGCGTTACATTTGTAAAAAGTAGCAGGTATAATTATTTTACAATGCATTTTCCAGTAGTTCAGTTTTAATCTTCTTTACAGGTGTGTATAAATCATACTGATTATAAGTGCAGAAGCAGGGGTTGATAGGTAGATTTTTTTTAAGCGTTAGAAACAATACAGATGCTGACTAGCGCTAGAGAATAAATCAATCAAATGGTCTTAGGAAAAATGATTTGGCATCACCCCAAGAACTGCCAGGTGATTCAGTTGAACTCTATTTTATTTAAAATAATAATAAAAATAAGCTCTTCTCATCCCTATTGGTAGTATGTGTCTTCCTCAATCTTCAATCCTCTGCTAGAGGCCTGGGACTTTGAGGGTCCTGCACAGTAATCTTAGTTGTTCCTAGCACTGCACTCTTCTGGATAGAGAACTCTGATGTTGTTTTGGGGAACTGCTGGACCTTCTCTCCCAGTTTAGGAATCACAGCACCAAGTGCTCCTACCATCACTGGAGCCACTTTGGCATTGTCTTTCCATGTCTTCTCCAGTTCCTCCTTCAGGACCTGGTTCTTCATCAGCTTCATACATCTTCCTGATGTTGATCTCACTTGGCACTGCTCCATCTATCACTGTCTTCTATTCCTTGTCTACTACCATCATGTCTGGTCGATTGGCCAATACTTGCCTGTCCATCTGAATCTGCAAGTCCCACAGGTTCTTGTTCTCCCCTTGAATGGTTCTTCAGGGTTTATTTTACCCTATGGTGATACTTCAATGTTGATGCTTCCTTGCCTCCTCATTGTGGTTCCCATGTGACTGTGGGACACCAAGGTACTTGTAACTGATCTCTGTGCCTGCTATGAGACCTGCAGGTAGTTCCAGGCCATCAATTTTAACTACCTTACCTCGATGTCTCTTTCACTCTTAGCATACAGCTTGATGTCACTCATGTAGAGTATGTGGCTAATGGTAGTTCCAATCTTGAACTTGAATTGATGGTAGAACAATCTTGTATCCATAGCCAGTCCTTGTGGCTGAGGGGGTTCAAGCCTATGCAGAACAGCAGTAGAGACAGGGTAAGAGCCAAGGTGGCGCAGTGGTTAAAAGCAGCACTGCAGGCTACTGCTAGATCAGCAGGTCAGCGGTTCAAATCTCACCGGCTCAGGGTTGACTCAGCCTTCCATCCTTCCGAGGTGGGTAAAATGAGGACCCAGATTGTTGGGGGCAATATGCTGACTCTCTGTAAACCGCTTAGAGAGGCCTGAAAGGCCTATGAAGCGGTATATAAGTCTACTGCTATTGCTATTGCTATCTTCTTGGTACATGCAGCACTTGATGGTCACTTGTGTGAGCTATCTTAAGTTGACTTCCAGTGTTATCACAGTCTGAGTTCTTGAAGAAAGCCCTTAGTATTCTATTGACTTTGTATAGTACCAGGCATTCACGGAACCGTGTGTATATCTTTCTGTTGTATGCCTTGATGTTTTGAGTCTCTGGCGTTGTTCCCAATGCTCTTCTGAGCTATGCTTGTGCATTGGTCCATGCACTCCTGATACCTGTAGCTTGGCGGCTATGATGGCTTACAGGACTTTCCATGTTGTAGGGAGACTAGTGATTGGCTGACGGTGCTGTTCTCTTGTGGGGATCTTTGATGATCAACATTGCCCTTCCTTATGTTAGCCAGTCTGACTAACATAGCAACTAGTGATGTGTCTGTGTGTGTGAGTGAGGGTGTGTGTGAGGGGGAGGAGGCAGGCAGACATCACATATGTTCCCCCAGTTATTTGGCAATTTGAAATTCTCTTTATTTTACTTGCACTGATGTGCCCAATAAATGATCTAGTAAATTTCTTTAACGATGAAAACTCTATGTAGTCAATATTCTCAGCCAATCTGCAAAGTAGCCTTTATTTCATCTACCCACTTTGAAGCTCCTACTGCAGCAAACTCCTAGGGACAAAGAGACCATCAACTGAAATCTGATTGTAGATCAGCAATTATTTCTTTAGCAAGTGCAGCAACAAGAGTATTTCTTTACTAAATTAATTTGTTGAAATACAGATACAAAATTCAAAATCGTGTCCATAAATTCTAGTTCTTAAAATTAATTCCTGCGTTAACATTCTAGGCAGATCATCCCACACAGTATTGCTCCTGGTTGTAAATAATTGCCACCACCAACCACTTAATTGTGATCTTGCGTCTGTACCGTCATGTTCTTTCAACCTAGCTTGCAATCCTGATTCTGCTAGGTAGACCTTAAATTCTAACAAAAGAATTCATGCATGAAGTAAATCTGCTTATTCCTGATTTACATAGTCAATTAAGTTAAAAAAGGGGCCACCATACCTCAGTCCTTGTGATTTTGTTAACTCATTAACGCATCAGAATGTTAAAACGGGGGGGGGGACACAAACTATTTGTACAGCACACTGGACGCAGCAAATTTAAACCTTATTTTTGTAGAAGACTAATCTGATTTGTTTGGATGTTCATCATAAATTGCACAGCTTGAGGATCCTAGACATATATATAAGAAAATATGTTCTGTACATTTTCTTGCTCTGCTAGCCATTTTGCAAATTGCTATGTATGTTCCTTGTCATCTTTATATAATAAAGGCTTTTCTCCGCTGCTAAAGTATACATACAAACTTAAAATACCTCATAGAAACAAAATATTTTTTTCCAATAAGAAAAAGATGTGACCTATTATAATCCTTATAATGGAAAACCATTTTTTTTACACCTCATCTATGCTCAATCCACAAGTGAGCCCAAACTGCTATTGTGTAAAATACTCCATTCTTAGAAATCTAGCAACTTCTTTTGTCCTTACAATGGAACAAACATCACTTTATTATTTAGTTTCTAACATTCAAGTCTCTTTGTAAATAAGTGTCATGAAGTGACTACGGGTATCTCACAAATTTTTAATATTTTAATAAGAAAATACAAAAACTTTTGGAAGCTGAAAAACATATAACTTTCCAAAACAAACCCCAAGCATAGCAGATAGATAAAAGGTACAGAGGTTTCTACCTCATTGTGTACCTATGGTTTAGTTTTATCAGGTATAAAGATTTACTCTGAACTCCTATCCTGACATCATTTCACCCCATTCTGGATGGATTCACTAATTTGCAAACAGACAACAATATAGATTCTTTCCAGAAATAATTATAAACACTGGAATAATTTGCAAAAGATTTTCTATAAATAAACAACTATAGATGGGTCGGTTGGCAATTAAGAATTAATGATAGGCCAAGAATTGATTTAATTAAGAATACTAGACCTAAATTTTCCTATTAAAGTTTCAGTGTGGCCCAACATTCTTTCATAATTTTCAATTAGAATCATAATTATCTAGTTTCTCCCTAATATATTTCTGTGCCAAAGAAAACAACTGTGTCAAATAAATATGCTACCAACAAAATTTAACAATATTCAAATGAAATGGTAAGCAAAACCATTGTTCTGATTTTTTTTATTTAGCTTGGAACTATATAGAGTATATATTTCTGTAAGCAACTAAAGAAAATAAGCCAGGATTGCACTTCACTTTATCAAGCAATGGTTAAAAAAAAAGTTTTAATGTTATAATTACTGCTGCAACTAGCTGTAAATGCAAACCAGCTGCATTTTATTGTTATAAGCTGCCCAGACTCACCTCAAAGCAATATGGGCAGCAAAAAAATCTAATATATAAATAAAATAAATAAGAATAAACTCTGATTCTTACATTTAAAATAACTTTTAAAACAGGTAAAAAGAAAGATTTCCTAATATAGGGAGAGGTTCCCCATCTTCTTCCTACTGTTGTGAAAAAGTAAATCCATTCACAACAATTCAACATTATAAACCAATGAGCTACAAGTACAAACTGTATTTGTAAGCCTGTAAAAAGGATGCATCTTAGCTTCTAAGTTAAGTTGACCTTCCAGCTCTCAATAAATTCCTAAAATATCCAGTGGTACAAAATATAACCAATTACCGGGAAACTGCAGCCTCCATAAATTCATCTAGAAGATCATCATAGGCCTGACCTCGGATTCGTTTGTGTTTCAGACCTATGTACAAAGGATCATTTATCAACTCCTGTTCAAAAGAAAAAAAAAGAAAGAAAATAAATATAATTGTTATCATTTGGGGCACCTGAATCCAAATATATTGTATGTGTATACTTACAACTTATAATTGGAAAAATTGTTGAGTCTTCCAAGGAATTATGAGATAGAAAAATAATGGGAAATCTCCAAGAAAAATGGATTTTTTTAATCCTTCCTTTATTATTTTTATAAATAATTCAAGTCCGCAAACATACCTAACACATCTTCTTCCTCCTATTTTCAACCACAACCGTATAAAGTATCTTAGGCTGAGAGAGAAGGGATGGCCCAAAATCCCTCAGCTGGCTTTCATGCCTGAGACTAGAACTCACAGTCTCCTAGTTTCTAGCCCAGTATGCGTTAGCCACTACTGTTTATTTTATTTATTTTAAGGAAATTTTAAGATTTTAAATGTCTATTTTAGTATATTCATTAAGCTATAATTCCTTTGATATATTATGCAAGTTAAAGAAACATAAAACTAATATGTACATATGGGGACAATAGATTTGGAAAATAAACACAAATGGTGATTGGTCTGAGATTGGTTAAAAATACACATAAAATTAAGCGAATACTCTTATAAAAACAAAAAGATAAACAGGGTCAAACCTGGGTGGTATAAGTATGACAAACTGTCAAGAAATAAATAGATAGGGAAATGGGGGGGGGGGAGAGTTACAGAAGAAAACAGTGGCAAGTCACTTCTGCATGGTTGCCAAGAAAGCAATAGTTATATCTCTGCATAGTTTCCAATAATCAATAATCCACACAGTGAGTTGGTAGGATTTTAAAGTAAAAAGTAAACTCTTTAAAGTTGCAGATAGCATTCTACATAACTTTTTTTAAGTCATTTATACCTGAAAAAAACTTCAATTCATACATTTCTAAAATCAGATTACATAACCAAAAATTTCTTGTGAAAAGGAAAACATGATGCCTTTATAGAGTAGATATTATAGCCTTTTTGAGACTAAATGTTAGCTTTTAATTTCATGTATCAAATTATACCTTATAATTTTCAAATCCAAATACATGCAATATCCAAAGCAAAAATAAACAGAAATGAATAAATGAATCCCTGACCACATCAAACCACAGATAATTTTTATACTTCAGAGCTTTCCACAAAGTATATTTCAGGAGGAAGATATGGTTTTGACCATTCTACTATTATTTAAGTCTAAGCTACCAATTACAACAAAAGCAAGTATCATCTTCCAATTTCAGGAAACCTCTTTGTGGGCTACACATACGTAATCTTACGAAAGGAAAAGCACAGAATCATTTTTATTTTCCAGTTCTTAGTGTTGTCCTTAGACTTCTTGGAAAAATCAATGGGATGAGACAGTAAAATGCAGCATAAACCCTAAACAAAACTGTATTTCAGGTTTGACTAGTAACCAGCCTAACATGGCCTTCATACCGAATCCATTTTAGAGACAGATATACCAAGACAGACTAACTGCTTTGTTGAGGTAATGGTCAGAAAACAGAAACTTAGCATACTTTAGAAATGTGATGCAAGGGAATGATGGATAGAATAAAACAGTTATGTTTAGAAATGATCAAGGAAGCAGGAGAGAACAACAGATGAAACAAATGAATGCCCTTCAGAGAACTACAAATTATAATTACTGGAGGCAATAGCAATAGCAGTTAGACTTATATACCGCTTTATAGGGCTTTCAGCCTTCTCTAAGCGGTTTACAGAGTCAGCATAT